CTGAAGTAAATCCAAGCTGAGATCGTACAGCTAGCCTCAGATTTTCCAAAACAGAAGCCTGTAATAATAAGAAAAGATCGTAAGATAGCTAACAACAAGGTATTAAGATGCAAGACACCCTTCTCTTAAAAATGTTTTGTGGCTAAAAATTCTACTACTCGTTATCAGGGTCTATGGAAGACATATTAAGTTATCTCACCTATACAGGTTCATCCCACTATAGAATCTAATCTATAACTTGAATCACTGCTCACTGTGTTTAAGATTTTTTGGAGGGACAGCTTGTTGGTATGGAAATCAAAACCCTTGACCTCAGTGTTACCAGCACCATGCTGTAACCAACTGAGCTAACTGGCCAGCCCTGTTTAAGATTTTCTTGAAACTTCATTTTTTATAGACAACTTTAATATTTAATGTCAGTTTTAAGTTATTTTGTTTTAAAATCTCACACAGTAATCCAATCCTAAAGGCGTATCAAAGATAGAAAATAAAATTATTTGATACTTCTACAACTAGGAAGGTAGAAAAATCTCCAACACAATTCACTAAGTGACTTAAGGAATATGAAAACCAGGTCCTTATCTGTTTTTTTTTAAAACATAGAACAAATTAGACTTGATTTATAAGGCTGAAACTTTCCAAAACATGTCAAAATTGGTTCTCAAAAGATTTACTGAATGAATGGATACTGAGGATTTAATTATATTGCCATAAATAAAGGAATTAATAAATTTGTTATACAGCACAGAAAATAAAAAACAGGAAAGCTAAAAAAAATTTACTTGTTTATAGCACTACACAATAGTATACAGACATTTGGATTTCTTCTCAACCTTTATTAAGATTTTTTTCTTTTTTTTTTTGACCACTGGTTGGTATGGGGATCTGAACCCTAAACATGTTTTACTTTCTACAGTTTAGTATTAAATATAAAATACCGTCATCATTCTTTGAAACCTGGTGATTTTTAAGTAGTACATATGGAAAATAACCTTAAAAAAAAAAAAAAAAAACTATAGCATTTACATAAAGTAGTCTTTAAGCTCCACCTAGTGGTTATAAAAAGGAGTATTCAAACTTGAAACAGCTTTTATCAACCTGGCATTTAGTGTATTTAAAATAGAGTATTTCCAAACGATGGTAGTTTCCCTCTGCTAAAACTCAGGCCTCTTTCTTTTACCCTCACAGAAAAAAGAAGTGAATAGAAAATGGAAGATGTGAAGCTTATGTTTTCCATCTCTGGGACTGGTATTGCAATTATTTGTGATTTCCATATAGGCCTTTCCACAGTGCTGGGAACATAATTCACGGAAAGCTAAGAAGATATTATCATAGAAATATTTCATAGTCTAGCTTTAATAAAACACAGACTGTCAATAAGAAATTTGGGTATCAGCACACATGGAATTGTTATGCAAATAAGAAATATTTTTCACCAATTAAGAGGTATCTAAATTTAGAAAAACAAAACAACAAAACAAAAACTACTTGTTCGCATCCCTAATGAACTTCATAGATTTGGTACTCAGCATTCAAGTTGTAAGGCTCTGTGTGAGCACTATGTTATTATATCCAGCAATGAACAAAAGTCTCTTCAGATATCCCTCTATGTTATGCAGCTATCGCCAGCAAGGTCAAAAATGCCTTCGGCATACTTTAATGCCAACTTTAATGTTATAGTTTATCATAGTGAGGTGAAGCTCTCTACTTAGTTAAAAAGTCTGTTTAATTAAAAGGTTGCCAATCTAAGATTCTATGAGGAGACTTTAAGAATGTTTTGGAAATAATTTTTTTTGTCTTTTGTCTTTTTTCCGTGTCTGGCAACGGATCGCAACCCTCAGTGTTGCCCCCGTACCGGACCGGGGACCGGCAACGGGATTGCAACCCTCGGTGTTGCTCCCGCGCCTCGCTCAGCCAGTGAGCGGGAACCGGTCTGTATGTGGGATCCGAACCCTCGGGCGGGAGCGCCGCCGCGCTTCCCAAGCGGCGCACTATCCAGTGCGCCACCGGGCCGGCCCTGGAAATAATTTTTATATACTTCTTCAGTTTACTCAGAAAGCATTTTTATTTTGAGTGAGATAGTAAATTACAAGATTATTTTTCTTTTTAAAAACTGCTATGGAAATTTAATAATTTGTTACAAAAAGTTTCAAACTTGAGAGTTTTACTCTCATTAATGAATAAAATCTAGCTTACTATTCATAAACACATTTTATTTTTAAATGCTGTTGAAGTAGAATTCTCACACAACATTAATCTTAGGGTCCTTGTCTTACCTTACATACAGGCATAGATTTCATTTTAAGAGGTACTGACATAGAGATCATAAATTACAATATACCTGATTAGGCGAACAAACAGGAAAGTCTTCAACTGGTGGTATTAAACCCTGAGCGATCAATTGTCCATAAGAGGGAGGGGCTTCTCTTCTTAACAATTCTGCTTCCACTCTTGACAACTGTGTTTCAAAAGACCTTCGAGAACAGACGGTGGCAAAAAACAGTTAAAAAAGGGGGCAAGGCAAAACAATAATTTTCAACTCGTAGTAATTAAAACAATCTATGAGTATAGCTGATCATTTTTAAAAGTTAGTCATTCAACGAATATTTACTGAATATTTACTGAATATATGTAGGTATAACCTACATATAACCTACATATAACCAACGAATATTTACTGAATATATGTAGGTATAACCCTACATTGGGAATACAAAGATGAAGCAGTCTGCCTGTCTTCATGGGGCTTTACACTAGTAGAACCCTAGGTCACTAAGTTTTAATAAATTGGAAATCCCTTTATAATACTAGAAATAAAAATACTAGATTTTTAATCCCCGAAGAATATGCGGTTGGGCGGGGGGCAGACTTTAGGTGACAATATTTGAAAGTTCTCAGGAGATGCTTTATTCATTACATCCAATGCATTTATTTGTCAGATAAGAACGTGAAATGAATCACAAAAACTTTTTAGGATAGCTGGTTCTTGAACTCAGGACCTCTGACTCTTCATTGTGCTCTTTTGTTGCAATGTGATAAATTTTCTGGCCATTTTTTCTTGCTCAAAGAAAAGATGCAGCGATTATTATAATACTGTCATCTGTGTGCCATCTTAGCTGTCTGGTAGGTAAAGTTCTTTGTTAAATGTATTATTTGTAACTAACCTGGGAGTGAAGGTCATTGTCTCCCCAACAGCCTTCTGGGGACCTGACATTAACTTCCCACAGGTCCAAGTTATCCTGCATCATGCTGAAAACTACTGTCTCGGAAAGTCATTCTTTAATAGTTAACTGTTTCTCAACGAACTAAGAACTCTGAAGTGTGGCTCTTACTGAAGTCTACAGCATGACATTAGCCTTGTGCCCCAGTCTTATCTCCTATTAGTCCTTCATAAGTGTCTTTGGCTCCAGATAAGTTGAACATGTGCTCACTCTAAGCACTGCTGGGCATTCCTACTTCTATTTTCCTTTTTCTTTCTTTCTTTTTTTTTTTAACTATAACACCTTTTTCCTATCTACATTCTACTCATACATTTCATTGGCACCTCACCAATTAAAGCCTTTCCACATCCTCCCATTAGATAAGGTACTTTTGACTTTTATTCCAGTTAGTTTTACAGTTCTTACAGAACTTATACTCCTGTCTTCTTACTCCCATGCACCAATTCTTTCCTCATAATTGTAAACTGCTTGTGCTATTATTCACTTTTCTATTCACCTGTATAGTGCTTTGAACACAGTTCTCAAATATCTGGAATTGTTGAATTGATATGAGGGCACTTCAAAAAGTTCATGGAAGGATTCGTAATATCTTTTCTTCTTGAAGTATTGTTTTTTAATTCTATTTTCCATAAACTTTTTGAAGTATCCTTGTACTTATAAAAACACAGGGTAAAAAACTACAACTGAGAGTTGAAGCTTACAAAATTCTGATAATACAGATTAATCTGAGAACAGGAGCTGGTAAATATAAATTGGCCTTTCTCGCATCATAACTAAGCATTAGTTTGTAAAGTTTTTAGCCTTTTGAGTCTTGGGCTTTTCACACTAGTCTTATAAATCATAAACAATATTTATCCATTTATAAACTAATATAAAATAAAAATACATTGCTAATCATTAAAGTAGTTGTTTAAAATATTTGGGCCATGCTTTTACTGTACAGAGCAAAACCACTATCGTTTTGTTTTGATACTGACCTTCGTTCAAACATTCTCAGAGAATAAAGCTTACAAGTACATCCCAGTGCAATGACGAGTAACAAGCCACAAATAAGGCTCCCTATGACGGCTGCAGTTATGACTCTGGTAGGCACAATTACTGGGCAGTTCTCCTCATCGCTCCCATCACCACAGTCATCTTGAGAATCACATACCCAGCTTTCAAACACACAACGATTATTTTTACAATGAAAATTTCCTGGCTGGCAAAAGAAGCAGTTTTTTTCATCTGATCCATTTGGGCAATGATTCTGATAGTTGCAGCGATCAGAACGAGGATAACACACACCATTTCGGGAACATGGAAATTCTTCCTTTTGGCACATGGTACAATTGATTTCATCCCTTCCATTTGGGCAATGCCAATATCCATCACAACGCTGCTGCTCAGTATAACACCCCCAGTTACCTCCGCAGGGTATTTCCCATGGCAAACAGAAGCCATCTACTTGGTAAGTAGCATTAAATCCCCTTGCAGCGTTCACTTTATCGGCACAAAAATGTACCCTTATCTGTCCAGAAGAAGAAACAACTGTAAGAGGTGCATGAGAATCAAAAGCAGTTAACACACGCAGAAGCTTGTGTGGATTTTCCTCTAATCCATCATATATTTTGACATAGTCACCATAACCAGTACCATCAAGTTTAAAGTCAGTGAAGCGCAAAATGACTTTACGATGATCACCAGTGTCTATTAACCAAGTGCAATTGCTTCCAGGAGGATAAAAGTCTGGATAATTGGGAGAATTGAAAGTACCATAAAAATATTTTAACCATTGCCCACAAGTTGGCACGTCACAGTCTATCTCATCTCCTAGGTCGAGGCAGTCAATGTTCCCATCACATTTTAAGGATTCAGGGAGGCAAGTGTAAACTTTGGTGAAACGGGAAAGACACTGGAACTGGTTGTAAGCACAGGGCTGAAAAGCAGCAGCTGTTGGAGAATTAGCTTCCTTGGCACAGATCTCTTCATCAGAACTATCTCCACACTCATCCATGTTATTGCATTTCCAGGCTTCTGGTATACACTTTCCATTACCACAACGAAACTGATCACAAGAACAGTTTGGTTCCTCAGATTTCCCTGGGAGGATGTGGATAGGAGAGAGACGGAGAGGGAAGCAGAAAAAACATACTCCTCAAAAGATATATAACAGCAAGTGGTATTTTCATAATAAACAATTAGGCCCAAGTGATAGGGGTTAAAATAACCTTATTTTAAAAAATGGGTTAAGTTCTAATGACAAAGTAGTACTGGCACATCAATTACTCAATAATTCGATTTATTGAATGCTCATTACTTGTTCCATAAAGCTCTTTGTATTTTGATCTAAAGGGAGAAGGGACCAATTCTGCTTTTGCAGACAGCTATTTTACTGCAGAACATTTAATAAAATGATGTAAGATACACAAGCCAATAAGACATATTGCCTAAGAATTTTAAATAACTCTTTCATAAACACCATTAAAACAATGATAGACATTTTTTAATGAAGAAAAATTTATCTACAACAATCACCTGTTCAAATAATTTTTTCATAATGTTCTGTAGTTCTTGTCTCTCTCTATACGTATGTATACATAAATATATATATATATATACATACACACACAATTTTGCTATATACATGATAGTGTATTTTGCAAGCCCATTATTTAGACTCAAACTTTTGCCAAGACTATCATAAGATCAACTTTATACTGTTTATAATGTTTCATGTAATCATAAAACAGTATTTCTAATTTATAATTTCTATTGTTTTAACATGACTGCAAAATACTACATGAATCTGAGCTAAAGGTACATACATTTATTCATCAAAATAAAAGGAAGGGGACAAAAAAATTGAGGTGCTTACAGAATTCTAATTACCTTTGTATACCATACTAAATATATAACAATAATGAGGTAGGGAAAGGCAACCAAACAACATTAGATTCCTGCAGTACCCAAATTGACAATTTGGGGCCAGTACTTACTTTTCATCAACAACTTATTTATCAGTAAATAGGTGATAAATAGGTAATTAAATATTACCAAGACCTTGTTTTTAAGAAAAAAGATAAAAAGCATATGTTTGCTAAAGGAGACTATGTAATCTCAAAAGATGCAAAATAATTTTTAGCAAAAAAATATACATAACTCTAATGCTCTGGATTATTCATTTTTGTATAATCTGGTCACCTTTTTTTGGATACAGTTGAAGAAAAGCAAAAGATAACTTTTCTTTTTCTGAGACTAAACTATGAAGATGAAACTGGTTATGCTTTATTTTTGAAGGTGTAAAAACAATGGTAATTCACACACAAAAAATATATTCTAAAGTAACTTTCAGGATATGGGTAAGCACTTGAGGGAAAAAACTACTTGCAACATAAAAAAATGCATTTTAAAAATAAATGCATTCGAGATGTTTAGTTTTTGAAATTAATTATTTTATTAGGATTATATAAAACATCCTTTGGAAATCCAGCCCCAGACCACCTGATTTTAGCATCTAATCCTCAAACTCAGCTGCCTTGAGGGCCTAGTCATAATTAAATGGACGTTTTGAAATTAGCTTCAAAGTGACTGAGCAGTTAAAAATCATAAAATTCGGTTCAATATTTTTCTTATTACTTAAAAACACACCTGAAAAATATGCCAGTCTGAAACCCTTTCTAGAGATGCTGTCGTCTGAATGAAACCTGATCCAGACATGATCTTGTGAAGAGATATATGGAGGTGGAATTGTGGAACCACAAGCTCTGTAACTTTCAATATTCTTGTATGTTTCTATCGTCAACCAGTCCAAACTGCATCTTCTGGACCCTTGAATATCAAAATCCTGAAAACTATACACACACAGAAAAGTTATGAAAGACTATTAATAAAGTAATTTTGGAAAAAAATTCATAATAAGAAAATGTAACTGAGGACATTATTATAAGCCTCCATACATTCACTGGTTTTCCTGAATTTTCCAGGCCTACGATCTTATCATCAACAAATAATAATACCACTTCTGTGTTCCTAATATTTGTATCTCTTTTCCAGGTTCCAGAACCTTCACATTCCTTCTGCATAAGTAATACCAGATTCCAAAATAATGCTAAAAAAACAGGTGATAGTTGGCACCTTTTTCTTTTTCTTCTCCATGTGTGTTTATTTAGGAAAGACCACTTCTAATTCAAAATATCCTAAATTGTTCTGTGTTGGAACCAGAAAACTACTTCATAATTTGATGAACTGAAGAACACACAGAGAAAGTCAGCCTTCTCTTACATTAGATTAGTACATCTGCTTGCTTAATGAAAAGTTTGTAGCATACATTTTCAGGAGAACAAACTGCACAAAATCTGAATAGAATAAAAAAAAATTAAAAGTTAACAAACAAAAAAACATTTTCAGTGAAAAGTCCCTAAGTTTGGGGATACTTTTTACATAAATCACTTTAGATCTAAATCTCTTATAGTTCATAAAATATGGGCATAAGTAGAGGACAAAAAAGTCAAATGAATAAAAGTACATATAAAATTAGTATCTGCTTGTGAAAAAAGAGAAGCCAAAATATAATTTTCCAGTATCTGAACAGGTCTCATCAAAAAGTGATCTGACTTTATCTTCTTGCCTCTGCCTTAAACTAAGTAATAATGCAATTATCCAAGGATTATTATATCAGGATATTTCCTCTTTAAATATTCTGAATAGCTGTAACAAAAGCTGATAGACCTTCCAGTCTGGAAATTTGTTTCCAGTTTTTCACTATCATGAAGGATGATTTTGAATCCTTATACAATACATGTGTCTCTCTCTCTCATACACATGAGCAAGTATTTTTCTAGGACAGTTTTCTAGAAGTAATATTCCTGTGTTAAAAGATGATTCCTTTTTAAATTTAACAGACACTGACATAAAATATTCATACTAATTCACAATTCCACCAAGTATGTATCAAACTACCCTATAACCCACACCTCTAGCAAAATGAGGTATTCTATTTTTTAAAAATGTATTGCCAATTAGGTGGACAAAAGATTTATTGTTCTATTTTGCATTTCCATATTTACTGATACTGAAATACCTTTTCCTATGTTTATTGGCTATTTTTATTTCTTTTCCTGTGAATTGCCTTGTTACAGTCTTCATTCATTGAAATTTTTTCTTATTTACTTAAGAACTTTTTATATATTATAAACATGGACTTAGTTGGGGGAATGTCTGTTATGCATGGCATGTGTACATGTACCCATACCCACATTCTCTCCAGTAGTTGATGTGGTTTGTCTTTTTCATTTTAATAATTGGTGGGTGTGAAATGGAATCTCTTATGTGGTTTTTAGTGCACTTCCCTTGAGACTAATTACGTTGCACATCTTTTCATATGCTTATGGGCCACTCATATCTTCTGTGAAGTGTCTGTTCTTCTGCCCATTTTTTAAAAATTGGTTGTCTTTTTGAGTTATAAAAATTCTTTTTATATTCTGGATTCAGGCCCTTTATTTTATTTATTTATTTATTTATTTATTTATTTATTTGGTCTTTTTCCGTGTCCGGCAACGGATCACAACCCTCAGTGTCGCCCCCGTACCGGACCGGGACCGGCAACGGGATCGCAACCCTCGGCGTTGCTCCCGCGCCTCGCTCAGCCAGCGAGCGGGAACCGGTCTGTATGTGGGATCCGAACCCTCGGCGGGAGCGCCGCCGCGCTTCCCAAGCGGCGCACTATCGCAGTGCGCCACTGGGCCGGCCCCCAGGCCCTTTATTTGATATGTGTATTACTAGTCTTTTCTTCCAGTCTATAAAGTTTGCTTTCATTTTCATAATGGAATCTTTTAATGTGAAGAAGTTTTTAATTTTAGTTTTGATGAAGTCTAATTTATTATTTTTTCCTTTATGTTTTAGTGCTTTTAGTGGATACCTTTGCCTACCCTAAGATCCCAAAGATAATTCAACAATTTTTTTCTTATATTTTAGAGTTTTAGTTTTTACATTTATACCTAGGATTCATCTTTTTTTTTTTTTTTTCGTGTCTGGCAACGGATGGCAACCCTCAGTGTCACGCCCGTACCGGACCAGGACCGGCAACGGGATCGCAACCCTCGGTGCTGCGCCCGCACCTCGCTCAGCCAGTGAGCGGGAACCGGTCTGTATGTGGGATCCGAACCCTCGGCGGGAGCGCCACCGCACTCCCAAGCGGCGCACTGTAGCAGTGCGCCACCGGGCCGGCCTAGGATTCATCTTGAATTAGTTTTTGTGTGTTCTCAAGTAGGGGTCAAGATCTTTCTTTGTCTTCTTACGTTTATCTAGAATATAGAATATACTAATTTTTGTTCTACCACACAGTTAAAATACTATCTGATTACCCTGAACTTACGGAGGTTTGGTTTTATACTTTGTTAGATTGGGTTTGTTTAAACCCACTTAGTTTAAACTAAGGGCAAAGTAGAAACAGAAAATTGTACACTTCTTCTAGAAGAGGTCAGCCAGAGATAAGCTCTGTAGTTGTGCATACAGATGTAAACTTGAAAAGTATGACAGTTACAGGGTCCCAATAGCAATCCCAAGGTGTTTAGGAAGCCACTCTAAGTCAGCAAGTTTCAAACTCCAAACTGTCTCCCTGTGATGAACGGGATTCAAACTCCAAACTCTGCCTCCTCTGTGGTGCTCAGTAGCTGAAATCCTTGCAAAGCTTTTTCAGCCTTCCAGTTGTTTCTTGGGGTCTCCTGTAAGCATGCATAGTTCATGGGTCAGCAAAGGATTTGAGAGGAATTTATATGCAGACGTAAGGGCTTCATAGTTTGTGGCTCTCTCCTTTCCAGGATTTGCTTTTTCAGTTTCCAGTCACTCTAGTAGCCTCAACTCCATTCTGACACCTCAAGCTTTCAAGACCATGATGATCTACTTGAGTTCCAGTCACTCCATGCTGCACGGACTGGTGAAAATCTTCAGGCAGCTGGCAGGAAACCAGCATTTTACACCCAATGTGGTTCCTTCTCTCGAGAGTGGAATACCTTCCAGTTTCTGTCAGCTTCTGATTACTCTCTAGTGCCTTGAAATAGTTTTTAAAATTTTATCCAAAGTTAATAATTGTTTATGGGAGGGCCAGTTCCACTGAAGCAAGAGAATCTCTTAATCTACTTTTATTTATTTTTTTAAAAGGATGACCGGTAAGGGGATCTTAACCCTTGGCTTGGTGTTGTCAGCACCACGCTCAGCCAGTGAGCGAACCGGTAATCCCTATATAGGATCCAAACCCGTGGCCTTGGTGTTATCAGCACCACACTCTCCCGAGTGAGCCACGGGCCGGCCCTCTTAATCTACTTTTAGTTCACTAAAATGTTTAAGATTCACAAAAGCAGGGACCTTGTCCAGAACAAGAAATCATCAACAAATATCTGTTCATGCATATATCCTATTAGATTTAGTTTGCTAATATTTAGGATTTTTAAATGCATTTATAAGTAGAATTAGTTTTCAGGATTTTTTTAGTGTTCCATATAGTTTACATTATAAAAGCACTGCTAACATACCTGTGCCCTATTCCTCTTCAGAATACAGGGGAGAGATTTCAATTTTTTCATGTTTTTTTTTTTGTTGTTTAATCAGCATTTCTTAAACTTTTTCCAGTCAGTTTTGTTAATTAAAATTTTCTTAGAAATTATTCTTTTAATCTGGATAGTGAAATTTAT